AGGAGGTTTAGGATCAACATGAATATTCCTCATTAAAGCTTGGGTCACACAGCATTTCAAGTCCCCTGCTCATGGTAGACTACGGGAATCTGCCCAACTGAGTAACATGCTGGTTAACCCACTTCACTGTCCTAGATTTCTTTACCAGACTAGCTATTAATTGACTAGTTAAGAATAAAAACTCAAGTTTCCTCAGACTGCTGGGAAACAATCATCCCAATCCCCATAAAAAAAAAAAAAAAAACCAAGGTCGCAATGCCACCTGATGCAATAACATCAAGTAAGAATCTGTCTAAACAAAGTGAATTTTTTGTAGAGATGTTAAGATATAATCAAGGATGAGCAAAGAAATAAAAAGCTGCTTTGTATATATACATGTAACAAACATTCATATATATGAATAGGTATATCTATCATCTATCTATCTATCTATCTATCTATCTATCATCTCTATTCCTGAATATGTCCATTAAATTAATCATAGTGATACAAACATCTGCTACCATTACTTTGAATGTGACCAATGGTACACTTTGAAAATCTTCATTAAAAGGATCCCTTTTGCAAGGGTACAAGTGGAAATAAGGCAAAAACGGCTGATATCAGATTGACAGACATTTAAGAAGGACAGTAAGTATAATATGAGACAAGGGATTAAAGCCCATCTGAGCATACAGTGCACTTAAACAATGAGTATACTATTGAACTAGTTAATGTGAAAATTCTTTAGACATGTAAGTTAGACTAGTAAAATAGTTTGGAATTTTATGCTACATGTTGAAAGTTTTTGAAGTGAGAGAGTGACACAATGATTAACTGTAAAATGTGACATATTTTAATTTTAAAGGGACTTAGCATGTGCTCATAGCTGAGTGGGCTGCAGTGGATGGATACTGTGGGAAGCTGGAAGTTGACAGCCGGCCAAAGACATGTCTTAGATAAAGGCTGCGTTTTCGGCATGAACAACCAGGGAATCTATCAAACAGAAATGATACCCAATGTCAAATTATGCTGCATAATGAATAAATAGAGGTAGCATGAAACATATGCCAGTGTCCTGAATGTGGTGACAAATCAGGGATGTGAAAGACACAGAAGACCCAGCCATGAATGTTCAAGAACGGTCTGAAATAAAAGCAGGGGAGGAAGGTTTAGAGGTGCATGCCAAAAAAATTATGTCTGAAGTCTCAGGTGTCCATGAATAGGCTTCCACAATTGGCTACTATGAGTGAGAGTAGATATAGGGTGTGTGTGTGTGTGTGTGTGT